AGCCTGTATTGCACAACTCAAAGCAGACTATATCAAAGATGACAGGACGAAGCACATTTCTCCAAAATTCTTTCACACACGAATTTCAAAAGAATAGCGATATTGATATCCAACAAATTCGCTCAAGTGACAATGTGGTTGATTTATTCATAAAAGCACTGCCAACATCTACATTCAAAAAATTAGTTCATGAGATTAGAATGCGTCGACTCGACCTGACATGGCCTTTTCTGTAAATCTCCTTGCAAAATATAGCTCTATACCAACTCAAAGATATTGGAGTGCTGTTAAACATATTTTTCGTTACCTGAATGGTACTATTGATTTGGGATTATTTCGTTCTCAAAAGTCAGGATCTACTTTAGTGAGATATGACGATGCAATTTATCTATCTGACCCCATAAAAATAAATCACAAATAGGTTATGTGTTTACACGTGAAGGAACGGCTATATCATGGAAATCTGCAAAGCAATTCTTGACAACAACATCTTCAAATCATTTTGAAATTATTACAATTCATGAAGCAGGCCGAGAATGTGCATGATTGAGAAACATGACCTATCATATCCAAACATCATGCGGATTAATCTCAAACAAAGGATAGTCCAACAATTTTGTATGAGACAATGCAGTTTGTATTGCACAACTCAGAGGAAGCTATATCAAAGGTGACAGGACGAAGCACATTTCTCCAAAATTCTTTCATACACACGAACTTCAAAAGAATGCGCGACATCGATATCCAACAAATTTGCTCAAGTGATAATATAGCCGATTTATTCATAAAAGCACTGCCAACATCTATATTAAAAAATTAACTCATGAGATTGGAATGCGTCGGTTCAAAGGTCTTTAGTGATCAACATTAGGGAGAGTAACTGTACTATTTTTCCTTCGCTTAGGTTTTGTCCCACTGAGTTTTTCTAGCAAGATTTTAATGATGCAGCATTTATTTTTAGTACTCCAAAATAACTGTATTCTATTTCCTTCTTTTTAATTTTTTCCCATTAAATTTTTATCAAACAAGATTTTAACGAGGCAAATATTATGTAATGTATCATTTAAGGGGAAGTGTTGTAAAAGAAATATTTATTAGGGTTTAGAGGTGAATGACAATTACACCCTTGCAACCCTAGGAATTATTACACTTGTATCCTTGATTCTGCCCTATAAATACAAGGCTTTGGTCTTTAGTAAAATACACATAAATCTATTGACTTCTCTCTGTTCTCTTCTCCTTTCTTTACTTTTATGACAAAATAATATAATTTTGAGAAAAAAATTCGTAATTTTTCGTTTGATAATGCAACAGTTAAGATATGAGGAATTGATAAATTAGCTCGTATCTTTAATCCCGATTTTGATGGTATTCTTTTTCATATTCGTTGTTTTTATTATATTTTAATTCAATCGTGTAATATTTCCTAATAGAAAACAAGCATTTGATAAATATTGCAAAGAACGTGAAATGGAACCCAAAACCTTTATCTCTAATAGGCCATAAATGGAACTTAAACTACATTTTGCTAAAATCTTGTGAAGGCTGCAAATATCTTATTGTTGTTTATTAAAACACCAAGGCTGTGTTTGATATGAAAAATGGAAAATTTTTGCCATTTTCTACCTTTTGATGTGTTTGATTGTAAAATTTTTTCCATGGAAACCAATTTTCCTCCTCCCCAACACGTGAAATATTTTCCTCAAATTTGTGGAAAACCCAATTCCCACCTTTTTCCAACTTTTTTTTTTTTAAATTTTCAGCAATGGGACGAAATTCTATCTATAATTGTAAAAAATTGTATCCCTTTAATTGATAATTTTCATGGAAAATAAAACCAAATGAATACCGAAAGATCCAAAATTGCAACATTTTTCAGGTGAAAAATTATATCAATCAAACACATTTAATTAACAATTCCTAGTAAAACAAGTTCTTGACAATTCAATCCCCTGAAATTCGTTTTCTTTCCATTCAAATTCCATTCTTGTAAAAAAGGGACCTAACATGCACATGACCTAAAATTTTTTTTTTCCAGGAGCATGATTAAGAAATTTCATTTAAAAGTGAGAAAATTTGTGAATTTTCTTTCCTTTTTCTCCTCCTTTTTTTTTTTGTCGTAACTAATGCATTATTAGGCGTATACTATTCTACTAGTCCCCAAGTTCTTGCTCACTTTAAAATTTCTGAAAGTATAAAACATATCCCCATTTTGTGATAATAATGAGAAGATTTGTCTATGTTGTTTTTCATTAGATTATGTAATAGACATTTTAGAGGGAAGATTTTTTTTTGGGGAAAAATGCAGTTGAGGTTCCAAACCTTTCAAAAAGTTATAGACTTTTCCCTAACCTTTCATTTGTTGTAGCTGTCACCCCAAACATTTCAAGACGTTGCGGGTGAAGCCCCAATGGATGGATTCCATCTATATTTTCGTTAGTTGACCGAAAAATTGGACTTTGACAACATATTATTCAATTATAAAATGACAAAATGGTAACTTTATATTTTTCACATTAAAAAACTTAAATAAAAATCAACAGAAAAAAGAAGAAAACAAAATAAAAAGGAAAAAAAAATTTCTTCACTTTCACCCTCACCCTAACCCTAACCCTAACCCTAACCCTCATCCTCACCCTCACCCTCACCCCAACCCCAACCCCAACCCCTAACCCAAAATAAAAAATTCACCGTCACCGCCACCTTGCCCAAAATCGACCACACTGGCATGACCATCTTCATATATATATAGTGAGATCTGATAAAAGATGAAGAACCAACTAGTGACAAAAATGTATCTGCCTCTCTTTGACGGATGGATCAACTTTTTGTCTCAAGTTCTGGATGATGTTTGCCCACCCTCTTGCAAAGAGGCTTTAAGATTTCAATTACCAACTTTCTCACTTGGAATGACAGCCATTTTTCGCATCACCAAAACCTTAGAAAATTGAGGGACTTGCAAGCTCCAGTGATGCAATACCATCCTTCTTGTTATCGTGGGGCGAAAATCATTGTGTGTTGGAACTGGACTATTGCTAGAGGTGCTCGATGCCATTACTTCGAATGGGCTTCAATTTTTCTAACTACAAAACAAACAGTAGTACTATGTGTGAAGAAAGAAAGAAAAAAATCGAAACAGTTTGGGGTCTCTCGTTCGGGAAGCAAATTTGCCTTTGCCTCAGTTCTCACATTTTACTCTATTTATCAATTAGGCTCTTGAAGATGGCCATGCCAGTGGTTGTTGGGGGAGGGGGTGGTCGATCTTGGGCGAGGTGGCGGTGATGGTGGATTTCTGGCTTTGGATTAGGGGTTGGTGTGGGTGTGGGGGTGACGGTGAGGATGAGGGAGAAGATTTTTTTCCTTATTATTTTGTTTTCTTCTATTTTCTATTGATTTTTATTTAAGTTTTTTAATGTAAAAAATATAAAGTTACCATTTTGTCATTTTATAATTGAATAATATGAGGTCAAAGTCCAATTTTTCGATCAACTAATAGAAATATGGATGGAATCCATTCATTGGGGTTTCATCCGCAACGTCTTGAAAGGTTTGAGATGACGATTGCAACAAATGAAAGGTTAGGAAAAAGTTTACAACTTTTTGAAATGTTTGGAGCTTCAGCTACAATTTTCCCAAAATTTTTATATCTCGAAGCTCAGATGCATTAAGCTCCTGTTAAGTATAAATTAAAATCAAATTTTTAGTAAATTTTGATAAATTGATGAAAATATTAGATAAAAATTTGTGGATTCCATAGGTGTATAATTACAATTAATTGTATACTTTGACTTAACATTTTAATTTGATCTTAATCTATAAGAAATATGGGCTAAATTTAAAATCTTTAACTATGTATCGCAATATAGAGAGTAGCTTGTGTGAAATATATGGCATGAATGTCCAAATATATGGTAGGAATGTTCAACAACCGCCCATACCAATGCCTAGAGCTAATATGTCGTCACTAAAAGTCGACATCGATTTCGAAGATCTTGAGTTAGTATTACTAACAATGGTCAGTACTAATAAAATTAATACATATGCTCGTATTTATTTTAGAAAGTAAAGTCCCAAAATTTATATTCTGAATTTTGTTTATGTGGTCTATTTAAAAAACGAGCACCAGAGGCTCGACCAATTTTAGGTAATAAAAATTCGAGACATAAGTTATGTAAAAGTCCAAACATTTAGGACATTGAGTTTAAATGAATATAAGTGCGTTGCATATTTAATGAATAATTCGGTTGCCATAATACTTACGTGCATGGTATTTCATAAAAGCAATTCAAGTTCGAACCACTATGTAGATGTTTTCATAAAATATTTTTATAAAACATTAAAGTTAAAAAGGCTTCATTTTCTACATTAAGGCACAATTACGTCAATTAATTGGAGGGAATAAGTTTTTTGTTAATGAACATTCATGAGACAGGTTACAAGTCACATCAATCATTCATTTTCCTTCATTTTTTAATATATAGATATTATTGTTATTTTATTTATAAGAATTATTTTTGGGCTTAAAACTCTTTTAAATAAAGGCTCAATTTAACAATGTTTATTACTACATCAAATTTTCACTAAAAATATAGGTTACAAGAAGATGAATTTCACTTATTTACCCTATCCTCAAATTCAAATTTCACTTTTATTCCTCTCAATTTTATGTTAGTTATAAATTATTTACAAGAAGCATTACAACAAGTTTGATCATTCAAGGCAAATATTTCTCATTTCATATTAAGAATCAAGGTAGGTGGTGCTAAGTAAAAACCCTTTTTGTTCATGATATGTAAACATGTATACTTGTGATTGAAAATTTTGAAATTATGAACCGAGAGGTTTATGTATGGTCTTTCTTATTTCTATGATTCCAACGAATTTTTTAGAATTATGAATTTTTCGATATTCATCTACGTAAAATGTTTAATTCTTTTCTATTTCTTTGTATACATATGTATGTATTTATGATCAAAGGGTACACCAAGTGATATAAAATCCTACTGAGCTACTCGTTCCAAGGAAAATGTCACCTGGAATGCAGACCAAATTGTAAATACAAATCAAAGACACATCGATTTAACAAAACACTATGCCCGATTTGGTACACATTTTTTAAATTTCATTTTTTTTCAAACTCATTTTCAATCGCATATTGTGATAGTTACATACGAACCATTTTCATTACTTTTTAACCACGCAATCTTAAATAAATCATTCTTGTCGTTGATCAAGTTCGAGTTTTTCATATGAAAATTTAACTATTTTGTAGCCTCTTTGACTCAAATAATCACATTGTATTCCTTACTTGGATTTACGAGAAAACAACATAAATTTTAAATTTTGACTCAATTTACTCGGATCATGTCTCCATCTTAGATCAGGAGCAGATAGTTTCGTTTTACTTAGAAATCAAGATAGGATTATATGGACAAAAGGAAGTGTCAATTACTCACCTTAGAAATGACTCCAAGCATTCCCAAAGAGACTTTTGCAGCATTAAAAATTGGATCACGTGCCTGCAAATTGACAACTTTTGCATACCCTTCTGATTGATTTGCAGGAACAATCAATTTAAGCCCAATCACATGATCATGAACCGCTCCTCCCTTTCCCCACCACGAGCTGCCGTGTGAACCGGTGGATATCACCCCAGCAACACTAACACCCTCCCAATACGGAGATGCCACCAGACTCAACCCTGCCTTCTCCACCCTATCGATCACGTCCCGGAGGCCGACTCCAGCATCGGCCGTGACCGATAAACTGTCGATGTTGACGTCAATTGTCGAGTTGTACCTCTCAGTACTAATCAGGACAGCATTTTCCGTTGGACATGCCAATTTTGGGATAGTGTGGGAAGATTTCGTGACAACTTTGACCTTTTGATTGTTCTTGTTTGCATTGGCTACTTCGAGCCGGAGTTCTTCTTCTGTAGTTGGATAAACGACGGTTGGAGCCTTACAGTCTTTTCGATCGCCCCATACTCCATAGGCGTTGTAAAGAACGCAGCCGGTTTGGTTACACCGGACTGGGTTTTGTGGCGGCATGCCATGGTTGAGAGCTGCACCCCATATGATAAAAACTAGCCCTCTTAAGAGCCATCTTTGATTAGCCATCAAGAACTTTTTTGCATCCTAATCCTGTTTTCTATAGAGTCAGACGTGTTTGGTATGCCATATTGGATAATATAAAGATTCTTGCTTCCTTTTTTTCTCCTTTCTACCATATTAAAGATGCCATTTATATGTAAAGGTTAGTGCTTGAAAGGAAAGCCAAGAAAATATAATGGGTTTTCTTGAATTAGATACCAAGAAAAAGGCATTGCGTGTGTGAATGCTAGTTCTGAATTTAGGCTTCAGAACAGGATTTTTTTGAACGAATGTAAAATTAAAATATGGTCCTATGCATTATTGCAAAATTGGGGGAATAATCTCTTGGCATGATACGCACTCATTCAACTTGGATATATTTGTTACTCGATGCTAATAAAAAATGAACGCACTTGCATAAATCAAGCATTCAAGTCAAAGGCCACGACGTTAAGCAGTAAAGAATGCAATTCAAACTCTAAAAAAAAAAAAAAAAAAAAAAAAATTCCCAAATCAATAAATTTAAGATCGATGGCGTAAATCGATAAAATGAGAATATGTAAATGAAATTTTAGTGGGCCCCACCCTTTAATTAATGTGAGAGAACTGTCAACAGTACTGTACCTGTAGCATTCCTCATATTTTCACCTCATGAATATAAAATTTTGTTTTTCCGTATCTATAATAATAGCTTAAAAGCTATTTTTATAAGTATATTGACGCGTGTACTTTAGCTTAAATATAATTTATGATAATGAAGGATAATGGTATGCATGATCTATATAAAAATCGTCTATTATTATTTTATTATATAGAGATAATGGATCTTGGACTCATCACTTGTATTGGTGAAGAACATGGGAAATCATGGGTTTTTAAATATTAAATACATTTTCTCTCGACAATATTTTTTATTTATCCCATAACGCCCAATGTTCTCTCTACATATCTAGACCACATTAGTCAAAACAAGGGTGGCTACAGTCTAGACATGATATGTCGATTTTTATTTTTATTTTTTTCCTCTCTTTATAGATACGTAAAAATATTAATGACCTATTTGAGGCCAATATTACAGCATGTTTGTAGGGGTAGAATTCTTAAAGTCTACGCTTTCTACTCGATCTTTAACTAAGTATTATCTTACTACAAATATATCGTAAAAATGTCATATTAAAAGTATTAGAGAATAATAGCGAAAGTAATTATTCACGATCACAGAATATTGCACTAAATTTATTTTAGTTTCGTTTTTTGCTTTTAAACTGTCGAAATTTTATAATAAATAATGGGTAAAATACATGTATTCCATTGATTCTCCGAAGCATGTGTCTAGCTCGTTAAGAGGTTACTGATCTTTTATGTTACTTTTGGGTCTTTGTCCTTGGGACTAAATTGCATTGACCACTTGTTTGGTCAGTTTAGGAAAGGGGAACTTAATTTTTTTTTTCATTCATTCCCCCCCCCCCCCCCCCGCCACCCCCCCGGGGATTGGTATGTAAAGATATATGGTTAAGAAAGTAAGATTTTGTCCGCGTTTGATTCCCATTTTTTGTAAAATACATTTTTTCTATCTGCTTTTATACTACATATTCTCCATTAAAATAATATAACACGCAAATCAAAAACTTTTTTTAACCACACATTCTTCATCAAATCACTATTCCAAAATACATTTTTTAAAAAGAATATGGATCAAACACACCCTTTGTACTAAAAATTTTGGGGGCTGACGTGTCCAAATCGTCCTCGTACTATGATCTTAGTATGAATGATTTTTTGAAATTGTAAAAATGGGGCTGTATGATTATATTGGAGTCATCTTTTCTTTTTCCCTTTTTTCCCCAGAATTGTAAAAAAATTCTAACTAAATATATAAGAGAGGGTTTCGAGTAACTGTTCATAAACCGAATGGCCATATAATCTAGAATTAAGCTATTTGTATTTGTTTGTTTACACTTTGGTTTACCCGACCCCACCCCTCCTCTCACATGGGGTCGGGTCCCACGTGGGGGCCCGTCCCCCATGTGAGAGGAGGGGTGGGGTCGGATAACCTAAAGTGTAAAATGACATGTACAGATAGTATGACCCTATAATCTAAGCCGTGTTCGAGTCAGTCAGTTAGTTGAGCCGTGTGCATGGGTGGGTGTAAGAATATCTTTCCCTACGGAATGTCTAGAACATTTGGGGTTTTCTGTGTTCTCTCTTGGATTTCTCGTTTGGTTCTTCTTCCTTTGTAGATATTTAAATTTTACTAAATGTTGATGATAATTGTGATTTGTGACCAAGACTTCTCCTTTCTTCTTCTCTATTTTCTATTTGTTGCAGTAGGTGCTATAGAGAAGGACATGCCAAGGATTTTTTTTCCGTCTATTTCCCGTTCATTTCTTCTCCTCTTTTTAAGTAAGAACTCAAAAAAACTGAATTTTCATTTTGTTCTTCTTGTTCTTGGTAGACTTATTTGCTATGGCGGGTTGGGAGTTTGATTGAAAATTCTCCGTTTATCTAGGGTTTTAAGTTCTTCGTATATTTAAAATTTACTTTCATGGGTTGAGAGTTTGGATAGAAATTCCTATATCTCTCAAGGTTATTAAGTTCTTCTTGGTAGATTTACTATTTATTTTTGTTGATTGGGAGTTTGATTGAAAGTCCTATATCTCTCAAGGTTTTTAAGTTTCTTGTCGGTAAACTTATTTAGTTTTGTGAGTGGAAGTTTGATTGAAAATATGAAGATTTGCGACTTGTTACAAGGGTGAAGCCAACATTAATAATGATGGTAGTGCAAACAATATTTGTTGGAGTCAATATTGTTTATAAACTGGCTACAAACGATGGAATGAAGTTGTCCATTTTGGTGGGCTATAGATTCATATTTGGCCTGATTTTATGGTTTTGGTTGCCCTCTTGGTTGAGATGTTCCAATGCATATTTCTTTTGATTTTCAGATTTACCAAAAAGAATATTTAGTTAAATGATAATTGTCTAGGAGTTTTATTTTCCCCCTTCACATCTGGATTTATGAATCCCACAAAAAAATTGAAAATCTTAAAGCTAAAATGCACACACAAGAATTTCTTCTAAATCTTGAAATTTTCTTCATATTTCAGGAATAAGATGCCTCAGTTGACATGGATGGTAGTCTTCCAAGCATTTCTTTGTAGTCTATTCAGGTAAGTTTTCAATTTTATTAATCTGTCAAATGACTTATTAGGGGCCTGTTCGATAATGATTTTGAGAGTCAATTTTTTGATCCTTAGAGAGAAAAGTGGATCATATCTAAAAGTGAATAAGAAATAACGATCAAAAAATTGATTTTTTGGGGTGAAAAATCAGAACCTCAATATTTGCCATTTTTCAATTGCTTTATGTGACACATGTTTTTACTATATACATTTGTCCAACATTGATAAAAGCTTTCATTGACAAAAATATAATTCATGAGTACATTGGCTTTCATTGGTGAACCTAAGGTTTATGATAGTCTAAGATGTTTTTGTGAGTATGATGACATCTTCAGCGCGTCGATAATTCAATCATATATTCTGTTAATTTTTATTATTATTATTATTATTATTATTATTATTATTATTATTATTATTATTATTATTATTATTATTTCTACTTCTATTGAAATAATTCATTGTTGATTAATAAATTGATAGTAGTAATTATTCAAGAATATTGCATATGTAGGAATTCAATTATTTGACATTGATATTTTAAGATTTTGAGATGGGATCTCTTCCTTTCGAAGACCTAACCAAGCTTATTGGTGAGCGACGGTTGAGCACTGGCATCTTTGTTGAATCAGGGGAGAACTCTATAAAAGTAAGAGCTTTCTTTTCCATCTTCTTTTGCATTATATTGTAAGATATATTTTCGTAAATAAATGTTAGTTTCAGTTTACCTATCCTCCGTGTTATATTGAGATCGCTTAATTAAAATGAAGTTTTTATTTCATTTGGTTAGGAGCTACTAGATTTGAAATGGCCTATGTGAATAAATGTCTGTTTTAGTTTACCTCTTCTCCGTGTTATATTGAGATCATTTAACTCTAATATACATGATCATCTCTAGTTCTATGCAAAAAAACATTCCAATCTCATATAGCTCTTGCCTCTTCAATATGTGTGTTGTTCTTTTATATTCCAGCAACTGCATCAACATTTACCAAAAGTATGACTTCATTGCAACTGGTAATTGCTATCCTTAAAGGAGAACTTGAACTGTTATTGTCTCTTTGAACCAAACGTACTGTTTGTGTAGTGCGAAATTTGTCCCGGTGAGTGTCAATTGATATGCATAAGACAATTTAATGTTTGGGAGAACCTCAAAATATGCTTAGGACAAATGACATTTATGACAATTTGACGTCTTTTATATTTTTAGCAGTTAAATCTAGCATCTTAAAAAAAAGTACAAGATATTTTTCAATGATTATATATGTGAATTTGAAGCTTATTTGAATAGAACCAAACACTTTACAAGCATCTCTTTAACTCTCAATGCAAATGTTACATCAAAATAGATAGCTCAACAATTCGAAGAATTTTTACTTGTGAAGTTAATAACCTAGTAAACAAAAACCAAAAGTAGGAGTAGTTATTTGAGAATTTCAAATATGTATTTTGATTTTTTTGCATGCTTATGTCTAGAATCTACCATACCTCCATTTGTTGCACTAGCTTTTGATTATTGTACATATAAACATATTAAACCTATTTGTCTAAGTACAGAATGAAATAGCTCTATTGTTTGCTTAGTATTACCATCAGCATGAAAATACTTGTAGACACAATTTATGCAATCCAATATAATCTTCATACAAAGCAGGTTTCATTATCTACTAAAATCTCACAAAATCAAAATCCAACACTATTACTTACACTACATCACCAACTACGTGCGCAATGCACATGCATTCACTAGTGTTTAAAAAAAATGTAGGTTTCTTTTCTCTTACATTTGAGCTAAGGATTGATAGCAGAAAATTCCCCTAAAATGTTTTTATATACTTCCCTACCGTCTAATTTCATTAGTTTAACCATTAAAAACAATTGAAATTAAATGTCAAATTTAAAAAGCAATAGTTGCAATTCTGATCCCAAATTTTTATTTTTTTAACATTACATCAAAATCTTTTATTTGTACTACCCACAATCCTAAACTTTTAAAACTTTATCTGCTTTCCCACTCTCACCACATTCTTCTCCACTTCTTTTTCTTCCTCCACCCGACCACATTGTAACACATTCCTTCTTCTTT